ACTGAGGAATCATACAATTGCCATTTTATGTCTGTCTTATTTCACTTTAACACTTGTTTCTTCAGGATTGTAGTATATGTTAGCACTCTCCTCCCACCACCACCTCTGGGAAGTGAACCCAGTGTCTTCACACTGAGTTGTGTCTCCAGCCTTGTTTTTATTTTTTTATTTGGAGACAAAGTTTCACTAAATTGTTCAGCTGAGCTCAAGTTTTATGTTCCTGCCTCAGCTTCCCAGTGTATTGAGATTACAGGCATGCAGCACCATACTCAGCCTTTTAAAAATTATTTCTTTTGGGGGTATTGGGGCTTGAATCCAGAGCCTCATGCATGGTAAGTAAGCACCCTGGCTGCTGAACTCCATAGCTTCAGTTCCCAAATCTGCTTTGTTTTGTTGTACCCGGGATCAAACTCAGGATATCGTGCTTGCAAGGCAGGTGTGGTGCCACTGAGCTAAATCCCCGGCCCCTCAAATTCTTTTAAAGGCTAAATAATAATTCATTGTATATGTGTGCAAAAGTTAAACATTTTATTTACTCATTCCTGCATTGATAGAAGCATATTACTTTCCTCTCTTGGCCAATGTGAATAATGGTGCTCTGAACATTTTTAAATCAAGCTTGTTTTATTGTTGACTTGTATGAATGAGTTGTTCATATTCTAGATATCAGTTCATTATTAGTTCTTTGTCAAATATATGATTTGTAAATATTTTCTCCCCATTACATAGATTGCATTTTAACTGTTGATTTAATTTTGATGTAGTGTGGTTGTCCATTTTCCCTCATTTGTTTCCTGTACTTTTTATATAACCAAGAAATCATTGCCAAATCTAGTCCCATGGAATTTGTCACCTATGTTTCCTTCTAGTTTTAGCACTTAAGTCTTGATCCTTTTTTTTTTTTTGTACCAGAGATTGAACTCAGGACTTTGTGCTTGCAAGGGAGGTGGCTGCACCACTAAGCCAAATCCCTGGCCCTTGAATTAAATTTTTTGTACAGTGTAAAGTGATGGTCCAATTTCAGTCTTTTGCGAGATTTTTTATGTGTTTATTGCTTTGTTGAGCTATGTAAGGCTGACTATATAATATTAGTGATCCGGGCTTAAATTTTTTTTTATTTTACATGTCTCTATAGTTTTATTTTAATGTAAAATAACCTGAGTGTGTTTAATAATTTTAGTGAGGTTTTTTATTCACTGTTCAAGGACATTTCATTGAAAGAATTTTTTTTTCATACCAGAGATTGAAATCAGGACCTTGCATTTGCGAGACAGGCAAGGTGCCATTGAGCTAAATCTCCAGCCCCAAGAAAGAAATTTTATTATTTAAAGCAATAATTTATTTAAAGAGTTCTATAACTTTAAGATTTTATTTAAATTAATGCCATAGTGTTTTGGGGGTTTTTTGGGTAGCAGGGATCAAACTTGGGCTCTTGAGCTTGCAAGGCAGGCAGTGGAACCACTGAGCCAATTTCCCATCCCAGTGCCATAAATTTTAAAATTAGGCTGCTTTAAAAGTCTGTGTAGTCTAGTGGGGCATAGTGACACACACCTGTAATCCCAGCACTTGGGAGGCTGACTCGGGAAGATTTCCAAGAGTTCAAGGCCAGGCTTGGCTACTAATAAGTTCAAGGATGGCCTGAGCTACATAGTCCCAGTCTCAAAGCACCCCCCCCCCCGCGCCGCCAATGTCTGGATGGTCTAGATATGGATATTAATTGTAGAGCACTTGGCTTAGCAGGTGTAAGGCCCTGGGATTTATCTCCGGGTGGGGGAAGGGGCTCCATCGGGGTACTAAGTAGCCAGATTAAGTGTTAAATATTCCATTTCTGTCATATTTTGTCTTTTTAAAAATAATTTAAGTCACTTTTCTGCTGATATAATTGGACAATTTTTTATGTCATCTGTTTAAACATTCTCTTTGAAATTGGCCAGATATTTCATAGAGTAATGAACTGGGCATGGTGGTGCATGTCTATAATCTCAGCCCTTTAGGAGGCTGAGGCAAAAGTATCATATAAATTTTGAGTCTAGCCTTGGCAACTTTGCCACATAATGAGATCCTGTCCCAAAAATTTAAAAAGGGGTCCAGGTATGGTGGCACACACCTGTAATCCCAGCACTTGAGAGGCTGAGGCACAAGGATTGGTCTGAGATCAAGGCCATCCTGGGCTACATAGTGACTTCAGGTCCAGCCTGAACTACATAGTAAAACCCTGTCTCAAGAAAAATAGGGCCGGGGATTTAGCTCAGTGGTTCCGGCACCCGCTTCGTAAGCTCAAGGCCCCGAGTTCAATCCCCAATACCAAAAACAAAAAATAAAATGAAAAGGGGCCAGGTGTAGTGAGGCATGCCTGTAATCTGAGCACTTGGGAGGCTTAGGCAGGAAAATTGCTGAAATCTGAGCTACACTGCAAGACCTCTCAAAATACTACAAGTAGGGGCGGGAGATTTAGCTCAGCGGTTTGGTGGCCTGCCTCGCAAGCGCAAGGACCCGAGTTTGATCCCCAGTACCCCCCCAAAAAAACTACAAGTAAATAAAAAATAGACGCTGAATAAGTAGTTCATTGCAAAGGCTCTGGGTTCAAACCTCCGTCTAAAAAATACTATTCACAAAGCATTTCAGATATTTCAAACTAGGCGTGGGTGGTACACACTTGTAATTCCAGCACTCAGTAGGCTGAGGCAAGAAGATCAGGAGTTTAAGGCAACCCTGGCTTAACATAGCAAGTCCTGGGCCATTCTGAACTGCATTGAAAGAACCTGTATCAGAAAACTCAGCAGGCTTGGTGTGCTAGTAAATACTTGTTTCAGGACTCAGGACTCAGGACTCAGGAGGCTGAGGCAGGAGGATTACCGTGAGTTAGAGACCAGCCTGGGCTACATAGTGAGTATAATAGACCTGAACTACACAGCGAGACCCTATCTCCATAGTCGTAGAACTAAGGCAGTTGGGGCAGGAGGATCTCTACCAGTTTGAGGCCAGCTGTAGTGAGATTAAGGCCCACTGAATTATATAGTGATACCCTGTCTCCAAAAATAAAAAAGGGTAAGCACTGAATTTGACTTACGTTGTGACCTGGTCTTAAAGAAAATGTCAGCTATTAACTGTGTTATAACTCCTCATTGAAAATTACTGTGGCCAGGAATTTAGCTCAGTGGTTCTGCCGCCTGCCTCGCAAGTGCAACATCCTGAGTTTGATCCCAAGACCAAAAAAAGAAAAAAAAGAAAATTACTTGTGTAACCTTTAAGGAAATTTAGCACCTTGGTCTAGAAAAAGTGTTTCTGATTTCTCCCCCGTTTCAGATTTAGGCATTCAGTTACATAAAACTGCATAGCTGTGCAAAAGTCCTTTACAAATACTATTTTTAAGTGCTAACTTAGCATTTCACCAAATTTTTGAGCATCACAGCAGTTTTTTTCCCCAAGTCCTGTAACTCTTTAAAGGAAAAATTGATAAAATTTGTTTATCACAAGAGCATTTTGAAGAACTTTTATACTGGAATTTTTTCCTAATACACGAAAATATAGACCTGAATACAGTACTGATTTTATTTTGATATAGAATAGCCTTTGTTGTTTAAAATTTACCATTTGTTCACCTCACAAATATTTCAGTATTAATTGGTGAAAGATTTTTAACACAAATGCAAAGCATCCTTCCTAGATAGAAATCATTTTATATAACTGTTTGCTTTGTAAAGCTACATATTTATGAATACATTTAGAAGGAAGATTTAATTTTTTGAGTCAAGGTCTCAGTAAATTGCCCAGCCTGGGCTCAGATTTTAGATCCCCTGCCTGTTTGCTGGAGTGTTGGGATTATAGGTGTACACCACCACTTCTGGTTTTAAGTTATTTAAGCAGAAAGCTTATCCTATTTCCGAGTGTTATGGAAAAATTACAAACTATTCTTAAAAGTCAAGCGCATTTGTTTGAATAGTATTCTTAATAGTCTTTACATTGCCATCAAAAGAAAGTTTTGCAAGCTATTATTAATAAGACTTTTTATATCTAGAGAAATGGATAAAAATAAGTCAGTGAGCTGGGTGTGATGACACATGCCTATAATCCCAGCATTTAGAGAGACTAAGGCAAGAAAATCCCAAGTCTGAGCTGGGCTTAGGCTACTCAATTATTGAAACTTTTCTCAAAATGTTTAAAAGGGTTGGGAGGGTCAGGGATTTAGCTAAGTGATGCAGCCATCTGTCTTGAAAACACAAGGTCCGGACTTTGATCCCCTGTACCAAAAACGAAGGAAAAAAGGGATGGGGATATATATAGCTTAGTGCAAAAGCCATAGCTTCAGTCTCCAGAACCAGGGGGGAAAAAGAATTCAAATAGGAAAATCTAAAAGACAAAAGAGAAAGCTAGTTTGAATAAACTAGGTTTACTTCATCATTCTATATCTGACTTGGAGGCAAAAATTACTTTCAGGCCCTAGATAGAAAAGAAGCCGGGTATGGTGGCATGTGCCTGTAATCCCAACACCAAGAGGCTGGGGCCGGAGTATTGCCATGAGCCTGAGACCAGCCTGAATAATGTAATGAGACTCAATCTCAAAAAAAAGAGAAGGAAAAAAAAAGTTTCATTTTATGAAAATGATGTAGCTCATTGTTGGGGTACTTGCCTAGTATATGCAATACTTGGGATTTAATCCCTGGTAAGGGGGGTGGGGCACAGTACAGAACAAAAAAGTATTAAGTTTATTTGTACATTTTAGATATACAGTATGATGATTTGTACCTTTATATGATATATCTTGGTTTTTATTTTTTCCCCATTTCCTTGCACTCCTTTCAACCCCTCCAATCCTCCCTATTTACAAAGACTTTCTTTTTTTGCCTTTTCTCGTTTATTCCATTCCCTTCTTTCCTTTCCCATACCCCTCCCACTTCCCCTTCCCTCTAGTAGGTTATTGTTTTATTCAGAAAACATCCTCTTTGATTTTACCATCCAGAACCCTTTTAAGTGGGATCTTTTCCTATTTTAAAATTTAGGGCAGCGGCAATGACTCTCCGCACAGTATTATTGTCATTGCAAGCATTATTGGCAGCTGCAGAACCAGATGATCCACAGGATGCAGTAGTAGCAAATCAGGTAAGATGACTGCTTTTTTTTTTTTTCTCATTGGGTTTATTTAGTACTTTTTAGGTATACAATACAGTTGCATTCATCATTGGGATCTTGTACCTTTACATGACAGGTCTTGGTTCTCAGATGACTGCTTTTGAAAGAGTTCTTCATACCTATGTATGTCTCTGTATAGTGGTTTACTATGATAACTCTTCTGAAACTAAATTTGGAAGTAGCTTTCTTCCTTGCAGTAAGGTTATTTTGTCAGATATAATAGTGAAAATTTAAGCTTTGGATTTTAATGTAATAGTTTAATTCAATTTGTATTATATGAAAATGAGTTTCCAAATGCACACAGTTAAAGCAATGACTGTCAAAAGAATGTCTACCCATATACCTCCTGTCAAGATCCTGTGATTAGGCCCAGGCTATGTAGTTCAGCAGTGCTGTACCTGCCTGGCAAGCACAAGGTCCAGAATTCTATCTCCAGCATCAAAATAAAAGAAATCCTGTGATTTGCATTTTAAGAACACACTTTATCATGTGTGTATACATCTCCTATCCCTACTGTCAGCCCTGATCTCTTGTGGTGATAATTTTTAATCACTTCCCACTGTGGTACTGAAGTGGCAGAGTAGCATTAAAGGCAACATTTTTTTTAGGACCGGGGATCACACTCAGGACCTTGCACTTGTAAGGCAGGCATGGCACCACTGAACTAAATCACTGGTAACTTTCTGATTCGCTAAACAAAATATTTTTCACTTTTGATCTTTAATCAGTCTAAGGCAAAAGATTAACACATTACAGCCTGACTGGTTTGTAAATAATATTTGATTGGAACATGGCTATACCCACTTGTTTACTTTCCACCAGCAGTGACAACATTGTTTGAAAGGTTTAAATCACTAATTTCTGTCCCCTTAAGATGTATTTTGCCAACCTATTTTCTAAGCCTTTGTGTTTTACTGAGGATTCATTATGTCTTACTGAACACACCCCTGGCCCCATTTTGTGATACTGGGACCTATGCACTGAGCAACATCCCCAGGCCCTTTTTAATTTTTATTTTATTTTATTGATTGAGACAAGATTTAATGTCCTTTGAATTTAAGTTGATCCTCCTGCCTGAACTTCCCAAGTTCTGAGATTACAGGTATGTGCCACCATGCCTGACCCTTTTTAATTTTTATTTTGAGCAGGGCACTGTGGCACAGACCTCCAATTCCAGCACTTGGGACTCTGAGGCAGGAGGATTACTATGAGTTTGAGGCCAGCCTCAACTATAAGGAGTTCAAGGCCACGCTGAATTACAAAGCCGTGTCAAGAAATACAACAAAATTAAACAAAACAAAAATTTTTTCAAGCAGGGTCTTGCTAAGTTGCCTCTTTTGGGTATGAATTTTCCATCTTCCTGCCTCACCCTCACTTAGTTGATCATATCTACATTGATATTATGACCTGTACATCAGTAAGATATATAGGTCTGACTTTTGAACACAAGAGCATATTGGAAACTGCACATTTCTGTGTGAAGGCTCCATTGATACTTCAACCCAAATTTGCTAAAAGTGAATATGGAATCTTAGACCCTTCACATGTTTCTCTATGTTTGTTTTTCTTTGTTTGTTTTTTAAGACAGGGCCTCACTCTGTAGTTGAGACTGACCTGGAACTATGTAGCATAGGCTGGTCTCAAACTCACAGCAATACTCCTGCCTCAGCCTCCCAAGTGCTGGGATTACAGGTGTGCGCCACCATGCCCAGCCCCTGCAGATGTTTTATTGTTGTATGATACCATTACTAGTTTAGTTTTATGACAGAATCACAGCTTTTGGATCCTCAGTCTATCAGAGTGCTGGGATTACAGGTGTGCACCACCACACCTTGCAGAATTATACTTAAAGCTCACCTTTTTCAAGATTTTATGTGTTGTTAATACTTCATTCTGTCAGCCATGCATCTTCTGTGTGGAAGCTTTCTTTTAGGAAACTTGTCTATACTTTTTTTTTTTTTTTTGGTACTAGGGATCAAACTGGGGTCCTTGCAACTTGTGAGGCAGGTGGTGGAGCTGCTAAGCTAAATCCCCAGCCCATTGCACTGTACTTTTAATTTATTTGTTACCTGTTCTTAGAAGTTTTGGGCCTTCTTTTCCCATGTGTATGTATCCTTGATAATGTGTTCTATGAATTTGCCCAGGGTGGTTGGAATTGTTTTTATGTTTATATTTAATGCTACTTATTGATACTGGGTAGTCAGAAGGATGGCTTGATTTCATTATTGGTTAAGGTTCAACTTAAAGATTTCTTTTAGTACCACCTAAAGTAGTTCAGTGATTTTACTTGTTTTCTTGTTATTAATTAGGAATACTTTTTTTTTTTTTTTTTTTTTTTTTTTTTTAAGTTGTAATTTTTTTTTTTTTTTTTTTTTTTTTTTTTTTTTTTGGTACTGGTAATTGAACTTGGGAACTTGCACTTGTGAGGCAGGTGGCAGGACCACTGAGCTAAATCCCCAGCCCAGGATAGTAATAAGATTTGATTTTGTAATATGTCCTAGAAGCTTGTCAGTCTTAAAATGTTCATCCTTTGAAAAGAAATATTAGAGCCAGGGATTTAGCTCAGCGGTTCCACCACATGCCTTGCAAGCACAAAGACCTGAGTTTGATCCCCAGTACCAAAAATAATAATAATAAGAAAACAAAAAAATATTAAAGTGAATTGAACAAAAACTGTTAATTTATACATTGTTTTACTAAGTTAGTTCATGGTTATCCCACAGGGTTTTCCAACACATATATGAAATTTTTTGCCTTTTGAAAGTACTCTTACAATTTCATGATCGTCTCAAAACATGGTATAAGTTAGGATTTTGCTTCATTTTCCCTAAACTAACACAGTTGTTGTTAGCAAAAGCTAGTTATACTCTTAGTGTGGGCTGTGGGTAGTGCCCAGATCGGTCATATTTCTTATCTAATATTTTACAATTTTAAAATAATTCTGAGTTTAATTCGGTAGTGTTTCCTGTTAGCAGTGTTGGGAATATCTCTAATATTTCACCTCACTTAGTATTTGTTTTTTCCTAATTGTATTTGTTGAATTTGCAGGATAGAGTAGACTAACTTGTGGGATGAAGGCATTACTGGGGATTGAACCATGGCCTTGGCACTGAGCTGCTTACTTCCTGCCCCTCTTTTTTTTGTAATTAAGATATAGCATTACTGAATCATCTAGATTAGTCTCATAGTTGCATTCCTGCTGCCTTAGCCTCCCAGAGTTCTGGGATTACAAAAATGTGACATCCACCCTGGCTGGATTAACTTTGTCTGTGTTTTTGATATATCAGTACAATTTGTGAATCAGAGCTTCACATTAACCAATTTTTTCTTTTTTTTTTGGAACCGGGGATCGAATTCAGGACCTTGCACTTGCGAGGCAGGCGAGGAGCCACAGAGCCAAATCACCGGCCCTAACCAATATTTTATTGAATAACAAATGACACAGCTTCTTTGCAATGGAAAGTCAGTAACATTTCAGTTTACTTTTGGGCAGTTACTAGTCCTAGGGATTGATCTGACAGCCTTGTACTTGCTAATAAGCACATACTCTACCACTGAACTATATACCCTCCACCCTAGAGCATCACATTTTTATTATAAATTCCTTTCATTTAGAAAGAGCAGGGTCTTAGCTAATCAAGAATTGAGCTACTATATTGAATATTATAAAATATCATGTCAATTGATTTTTTTTTTTTCTTTCTGTATAGTACAAACAAAATCCTGAAATGTTCAAACAGACAGCTCGACTTTGGGCACACGTGTATGCTGGAGCACCAGTTTCTAGTCCAGAATACACCAAAAAAATAGAAAACCTATGTGCTATGGGCTTTGATAGGGTAAGTATTTAACAGATTGTTTATTTTAGCATTTATATATGTGTGTGTTGATTTTTTAAATTACTGCTGCAAATCCCTGGGCGGGAAAACTGGTTTAACAAACAAGAGAAAAACCTTGTTGTGTAAATCAGCTTGGTTATTAAAATCAGAAATTTTTTCGCTTTTTATTCTAGTTGTTGGTATTAGAAGCTTTTTATGCACTGCAAGTACAAGGCAGCGTATAGAATAGAAAGTATGATTTTGCAATATAAAGACAGTGATTCAGTGTTTTTAAAATGTTCCCTTGAGGTTTGATTTTTTTGTTGTTGTTTCCTTTTTCTTTCTGCAGAATGCAGTAATAGTGGCCTTGTCTTCAAAATCATGGGATGTAGAGACTGCAACAGAATTGCTTCTGAGTAACTGAGGCCTAGAAAGAGCTGCTGATAGTCAAGCTTGCCTCTTCTTCAGGAGCATCAACATCTGTTATTTTTAGAATTCTGCATAGATTTCTTTTAAACTGGCATTCTTGCCTAATGATGTTATCTAGGCAACCATTGGAGACTGAAAAAAATGTTCTTGCTCTGTAAATAAAGCTAATTAAACGTCTGTGTAAATTTAAAAAGGGGAAATACTTTTAATTTTTTTCTTAATAGTGTAAAAATTCTTTGAGCTAAGCTAAAACCATGGAAAAACATGCTACTTTAGTGTTTAGCGGTGTAACAAGACTAGCAAGAGTTTGCTTCAGGGTTTTGTTGAATAATAAGATAATATTTTGAGTGTGTCAGGGCCATTCAAGTTGTTGGTGTTGCATCACAGCTACCTTAACTGTTTTTAACATGGATCCTCTGTGCCTGTGAATTTACTTGCATGCTTGTACTTGACTTCTTAGGATGGGTAGCTGAAAAGACCACCATTTTAGGCATTAGAAAATTCGTATATAAGAGATTTATCCAGAAATGAAGATGGTGACCTATTCAGAGCCTTTTTGTCCCAGTTGAGAGGTTGGGGCACTGTGTCTTCTTTTCCTGTACCGCACACAGTTAATAATCTAATGGTAGGTTTCTCTGTATTTGGTGGGGAAATGTGCCAAGCAAAGTATCCCTGACTCCCTTTTTAGACCTAGAGTTTGGAATGTTTTGTCATAATTCTTTAAACACTCAAAAGTTTTCCTATGTAAGTAATGTAAGAATGGAGCTGCCAATATTATTTCTTTTGCAGAAACAGTAAATACTTCGATACTGCAGTATTCCTTAGTGTGATGAAAGGACCCGACTTAGTTTTGCAATGAATTTGACGTGGATTTTTAAATTGATAAATTTTTCTTTGAGAACATTGAAGAATGTAGTCAGCTATTTCCAGTAGTTTATGGTGGGCTTTATGAAAATTGCTTTATCAGATACTTTAAAAGCCACTCTTGCTTGCACTTCCCCATATTGACACATGAAAGCTGTGTTGGTGTTTTACTGTACATACTTCAAATGCACATAGGAATAGAGGTGTGTAACAAATCTAGCTTTCTTTATGATGTTTCTGATAATGAGAATTGAAAACTTTACCTTCTCTTGTACATAGTCAGACTTTTATTCATATTAAAGTTACATTTCATTCTAAGTTCAGAAGTTTGAAAATTACTAGTTTTGCAAGTTCATACACTTAATTTGACCATTTTATGAAGGTTGAAGTAGATTTATGTGGGCAGTTCTATACATATAAATATAATTCTTACTAAATTTTCAGGACCAATGCAAAATAATAAAAATGGAATCAGACTAAATTAAGGTTGTATAGTGAAAGTCATAAAAGGTTTTCTTTCTTCAAGTGTTATTTGTCTTAAATCATAACTGGAAAATAATTTATAAGCCTATTAAGTCAGTATAACTTCAACTTTTCAATAATCTTGATACTAGAAGCAATAAAAGAACCAATATTAAATATATCATAATGTTAAAGATATGAAGGTTCTTCCAAAAAACTTGTAAGGCTTTCCTATGTAAAAGTAATCTCTTAAAATTGATATAGTGCATACTGTACACAAGTTGGTATGTTTTCCCCCCACGTTTCTTAAGCATAATCACAACCCTTAATTGTTGTAGTTTAGTTATTTTCTAAAGATGCCAAAGGAAACAAGATTTTTCTTTATTTATTTTAAATAGCTAAAATCTTGTACTTTTTATTTTGAGGTATGGTGGGATTTTGTGATAATATGGACAGTTTTGCTCCATTGTTGGTTAGAATTAATTTTTTTATAGTGGAGGGTGGCTTGGTAATATTAGTATTTGGATTTTTGAAGATGTCAAACACATCCTGTTTACTATTTGCCTATATTATCAGGGTATATTTATTTGTCTGTGGTTAGACAAAAGAGAAAAAGAACTCAGTGGTTACTAGTGTCAAGCATTACATGCTACACTCTTAGAGGCAGCTCTGTCCTGCTTTGATTTTTATTCACACTGCCCCATATCTTGTCCAGGTATTTACTCATCTGATTGTACTTCAGCTCCAGTGCCCAGGAAATTGGAAAGTACAATATTTAGTTTGATAGGTTCTGCATAATGAATTTTTCATTATAAAAATTTATTTCCCTTTAACATGATGATACTCTTTCTTCCTGGTACATTTTCCACTGTCCTGGGGTTTTTGGGTTTTTTTTCTCCCCTCTCTCAATACAGATTTAGCTCCACAAACATAGAAACTAAGGCAATTACCTTTTCTTCTTGTGTTAAATGTGTTTGGGAAAAGGACACTAAAAGTTCAGGCCTAGGGAAAAAGTACCCTGGTGAAAGTTATTTTTAAAATTCTTGGTGTTTTAGAATTTATTGGTTTAAGAGCTCTCAAAAATTATGTTTTAAAAAAAGGCATTAAATTCCAGTTAGATCAGGCAGATTTGCTAAAAGTCACTGATACACTAATAGGCTTTTATTATAATCAGGTCTGTTTCCTGAGTATGTGCCTAACTTCAAAGAAGAAACAGTTACAGTCTGTCAGTACCATTCAGTGAGTGAGTGAGTGAATATAGGAGTTTGAGACTCAAACATGCACATTCGAGGAACTTGCTACTAAATTTGATGCTCTGAGTTGGCTCTGATATGTTTAGAATTGTGACTGTGGTTTATGTAAACACAGAAAACACCTCCAAGAGTATATAAATGTTTGGAATCTGAGTATTTTGTTTCTGAGAAAAATAAGCTATGAAGTGAAAGGAAGATTGAGTTCTTTTGGTCTCTTTTTCAAAGTTTTTCTCATTTATGATTTTTGATGGCACTTAAAACTATGCAAAAATAATTCTTTTTTAAAGTATCTGTAAGAAAGAATTGGCAATTAGAGTTTGCTTGTGTATGTACTACTGAATGCAGCATATTACTCTAGGCTGCTTCATAAGTTTGCCAATGTGAAAAGTAGATCTGGACTATAAGTGTATGTCTGATTTGAGCTTTTAAAACACTGCTGCAGTAGAGGATGGTAATGTTTTCCTAATTCTATGTAGAAACCAGAAATAAAGAACTTTTGTTGTGGTTTAAAGATTTAAGATTAATCTGGCAGACTATTGCTAGAGCCAAGTATACTATTCTTATACATAGGAAAAACAATGTTTAGAAATGAAAAAGGAAGTTGTTTGTTTACAGTTAACTTTATTTCATGAACTTTTACAAACTGATGTTGTATTAATCAATTTCTCTAGTTTCAAAGTTTTTCAGTTCTAGGGTACAAACCATTGATTCAAAAAAGTCGCATTTCTATTCTTCACTTGATCTTAGCCAAAAGGCAGAGAAGCAATGCATTTCTCTTCTTTAGTACCAGTTGAAACTTCTAGCTAGTTGCTACATTGTGAAGACAGCAACTTGAAGTATACTGATGGATAGCCTTTCCCAAACAAAGTGTGACTTTACTTTAGGATCTACAAATGATGTCACACATTGCATTTGCAACATAGATTAAAAATCTTGTGGCATAGGGGTAGGGGAGTGTTGCTATCTCCTTTGTCCTTTGTTACTGTGTTATTGGACTGACCTAGTCTCATAAACCTGCATCATCACCTAAAAATGTAAGTTGTTGAATGTGCCACCATTTGCTTGGTTATTTCAACCATGCTGCTATTATAATCAGGTGTGGCATAGCTTATTGGTTTGGTTTTGAGCGTGAGTGGATAAAAGTCATTGCACTGTGCTGCTGTGAACGATCCTTATCTGCTTGCTGTAACCTACTTTTTACAGGCATCATAATAAAAGCTAGACTATTTCTTTGGGGGAAAAGAGACTTATTTAATGTTATTTAAAGAATTTTCCGATAGAAAATGAAATACTATTGAAAATAATAATCTATTTTTTAGCTTTCAGCAATTGATGGTGCTTTGTTGTGGTGTCTGCTGGAAGTCTACTGCCATTATAGGGATTCTCATTAACTTCACTGAGAAAGAATCTTGCTTGTTAGCATCTTAGATCTCTAAACAGTCTGTTAGTGATGATAAATTCTGTAGGAGGGTCTATTCTGAGCCATTAACTTCCTGTAAGGGGAAAATGGGTGGGTTACCAGAAATACCATTGAAGCAGGGTGGGCTGTGGGTGGAGGGTTGGGTATTTGTCTTGAGAATTAAAAACTACGAAACACTTTTGTACACAACTGATTTTTTAAAAAAATAAACACATTTTTAAAGATGTTGAATTTTTCCCTCTTATTGGGAATTCTTAAAAATAAATGCATGCATGTTTTCCCCTGAAAATGGTTTATATCTTGTTTGTGGGTACTCATCTCTGAGCAGTTAAGTCTTCACATTATTTTAAACAAAGACTAGGTAGATGATGATGGAGATGATGATGATGATGATGATGATGATGATGATTTTTTAGTACCAGGGATTGAACTCAGGTCCTTCTGCTTGCAAGGCAGGCAGTGGAACCACGGAGTTAAATCCCCAGCCCTATAATTCTTGACACATTTCATGCTGGTGGGCATACTTAAGTTGTCAGGTTTTTAAATTTGAAAACAGGTTTAGGGCTGGGGATTTAGCTCAGTGGTTCTGCCACCTGCCTCGCAAGTGCAAGGCCGCGAGTTCAATCCCTAGTGCCAAAAAAAACGACAACAACAAAAAATTAAAACAGGTTGAAATTCTAATTGAAATTATTTTTAAATATAGAACATTATTTTGTCAAGTTCTAATCTCAATTATACTGAAAGCAGTACTGTTTATTCTTTTTCCATATTGCACACAGGTCTCCTGGATGACCACATAGTACTGTGAAATGGATTCTGAATTACCACAGAATGTCTTGGGTTTTCATCTCAGTTTTCACTCTGGATCATAGAGCCAGAGTTTTTCTGAGCCTCTGTTTCTTCATTTGGGCAAAATATCTGCCCGGCATTTTATAACATATTTGAGAAGCTCGAATGCTGCATTGTAAATATAATTGTAACTCTGAATCCTGGCTCAGCTCAGGGAGGGTTATTTTGTGGCCAGCCTGAAACCACCACCAAGAGGGATGTTTGGAAGTCATGCTGACTTGGCAAAGCAGGTGTTCTGTGTTTGGTGTTGCTGCAAATGTAGCTCGTGTACAAGTTTCAGTCCCCAGTACTGCTAAAAAATATAATTAGCTATAATGTGGAATTATCTATGGGTTATCCCTCCATTAATACTGGTAATCAGCAGGGACTGTATTTGTCAGAGTTCATCCTAATTATTTCACATGGCAAAACTGATTGTCTTTAGGATATTTATAACCAGCTCACAGCAGCCCTATGGATTTCTGTTGCCTGGAGATGGAATTGTTCCTGACCTGGAATAAGCAGGATGAAGTGATCTTTTCATGTTGTAAGTGTATGCCTGTAAGTGTTAATAATTGAGAACAACCATGTGAGTCCTCTTTGCCTGAGCAATAATAGATTGTCCATTGTAAAGAGTTGGTACTTGTTTCACCATGTACGGTGGCACAAGCCTTTAATTCCAGCCCTTTTGGTGACTGAGGCAGGAAGGTTGCAAGTTTGAGCCTACCCTGAGCCACTTAGACCCTGTCTAAAAAAATTTAAGACAGGTGTGGTGCATGCCTTGTAATCCCAGCACTCTGGAGGCTGAGACAGGAGGGGCACCTTGAGTTTTGAGGCCATCCTGAACTACATAGCTAGATCTTGTGTCAAGAAACAATAAGTTGAAGTAAAATTAAATAGTTCAATAGAAAACGGGGATGCAACTCAATGCAAAGGCCCTGGGTGTGATCACCTGTACCCTCCCCGACACACACACCCTCTGCAGACCTAATGTGTCATAGAAGAAAACATCATAAATTCCAGATAGTATGTTAGCCTTGGAACTGGGCAATCATTCTGCCTCAGCCTTCTGAGTGTGTGGCATCCCAGCTTGCAAGGGTCTTATTCTTTTTCAGTGATTAGTTGGATTTCTTTAGTTTCTCTTTTGAAAAATCAGTAGGGAGGTGTTCATAAAAATTGATTTTCTTGCTCCATAGAAGCATTCGTATGTGTTTGGTGCTGGGGATAAAGCCCAGAGGCACTTTACCACTGAGCTGCACATCCTGGGCCTTTTGGGGGGATGGGCAGGGTCTGGCTAATATGCGCTGGCTGCCATTGCATTCGTGATCCTCCTGTCACCAACCCCGGGGAGTGGAGATGCAGGTGTGCAGCACTGCTCCTGACAAACCAGTCGCTTTTACGTGTCTCTCTCTAGGTTACTGTGCTTACCCCTTCTAAAGTAACTCTAGGTTTCCACTGTAGCTAAGTATTACATTTTTGTTCAGTCAGTCACCTGATAACCATCCCACCTCCTAGTGCCTGGTGTCATCTTTATGTAGTAGTTGAGCTTAGGTTAAGGGAAGATGTGCACAAAAGCATTGAGAAAATAGGGTGGCTTTGGGGTTTAAGTAGTGGAAAGCAAAATGAGTACACAAACCAGGGGATGATGCTACCAAGAATTAGAGTAATAATTACAAGGCTAAGAGATAATGAGAGGGGGGAAAAGGCAAAGTATGGTGAAAGATCACAGGTGTGAGCCAGTTGGTGCCAGGGTAGGAAGATGAGACCTGTTTGTGGGCCAGGAATTTAGCTCAGTGGCACTGTGCCTACCCTACAATACGAGGTCCTAAGTTTGATTTCCAGTACCCCCTGCCCCAGAAAACTGGGAAGGCTAGAGTGCACAAACTGAAAACCTTTAACCTAAGCACTTTAGAAATGCCATTTAGTGGGCCGGGCATTTGGCTCTGGTTCTCCCACCTGCCTCACAAGCGCAAGGTCCTGAGTTTGATCCCTGGTACAAACAAACAAAAAATTAGTTTGTTAAATATTCCTAATGGTTGAAAAGTATAGTTTAAGCAGGCATACCGGCACTTGCCTGTTATCCCAGTACTCTGGGGAGGCTGAAGCAGGAGTATCATAAGTTTTAGCCCAGCTTATGCAAGTTAGTAATTTTGTAAGGCCCTATCTCAAGGAATGAAGATGTAGCTCAGTTTGAAAGTCCTGGTCAAATCTCCAGTACCACACAATTTGGTTGAAACTGGGCATTATGGGAAACAGGAAAGCCACAGTTCAGGAGGCCTGGGCAAAAAGGAGGGTACTGAAGATATACCTCAGTGCTTAAGGTTCTGCATTCAATCCTTGATACTGGTGAAGAATTTGATTGAAGTTGTAAACTCAGCTGGGCATGGCATTGCATGCCTGTAATCAGCACTCAGGAGGTTGAGACAGGAGGATCACCATAAATTTGAGGCCAACCTGGACTAGATAGTTGAAGGCCAGACTGAACTACATAGGGAGGTCCTATTAAAAAAAAAAAGTATTGGGCTGGGGATTTAGCTCAATGGTGCCACTGCCTGCCTCTCAAGCCAAGGTCCCAAGTTCCATTCTCCGTACCTAAAAAATATAAAAATTTTGAAGTGTCAACTCATTTTATATCCCCAATGTTTTTGCTTAATTCAGTGGCACCACGTGTGCCTGGTAACCGCAAGGTCCTGAATTCCATCCTGGTACCGGAAAAAATTTCACTGGGCGTTTTCTCAGAGGAACTTCCTCTTGCTAAGGATGATTATATATTCTACCATTTCCACTGGTTTTAGGTTTTTGTTTTTTTCACTTAGTTCTTTTCTTAATATCACTGTTAAACTGTTTAGATATGCTTGTATTTCCTCTTCTGTTCCCTGCCACATTGGCAAAGTACTGAGAGTTTGTTCTTTTTGCAGTACTTGGGATGGAAGGGACTTCACACTGAGCTACATGCCTTCCCCATTTTTTTTTTTTTTTAAGCATTCAAAATGTCCTCTTTTCCTCCCTCCCCTTTTTTCCCCATTGAGTTTATTGGTACATTTTAGGTACACAGTACAGTTACATTCATCGTTGAGATCTTGCACCTTTACATGACAGGTCTTGGTTCTCATATTTTTCCCCCATGCCCCTGCCCTTCCTTTACCCTCTCCACCCTTCCCTCTTCATGTGCCTTCCCTATTTAATTTGTCGTTTCTGTGGTATGGGAAATCAAACCCAGGACATTGTTTGCCAGGCAGGCGTGGTGCCAATGAACTACATCCCTGGCCTTGTTTGTAGCCATATTTAAGCTGCCACTGGCATTCTTGTGGTAAGTTACAGTATACTAATTACCTTTGTAATTTGTATATATATGTATTTATGACAGTCTCACTAGAGTTCAAGCTGTCCTTGAACTCACTGTGTGTCATACCAGCTGCCTCAAACTCACAGCCATCGTCCTGCCTCTGCCTTCCAAGTGCTGGGATGACAGCCTGTACCCCACTTTGGGGTTTTTTTTGGTGGTATTTTTGTTTTGTGAAGGAGAGGGTCAGAGTCGGTATTACCAAGTCATTGAATTTCCCAGTCTGAACTCAAACTTATGATCCTCCTACCTCAGTCTCCAAGCGTTAGGTGGGTCTTCCCATCTAAAAATGTGGGTCTGGTCTGAAATTGAGCCAAAAGTACTGCAGACCTTACAGCTACAGCTACAGAAATGAGACGCTGACTTGCTAGAGGCCACAGCATGGGTGTTGTGCTGTGGTTGAGTGGTGCTTTCAGGAAGTGCTGGACCAGAGTGCCTGTGCTCGGCCCCTCCTGCACTGGCCGCCTCCCTGGGTTCCCTGCACAGGGCCGTGCCAGGTCTGCTCTGTGCCCATCAACTCCTTACCAACCACAGAGCGGACTGAGCTCCCCTTGTCAGACTGACACTCTTGCTTTCATTTATTAAACTGCACCCAGATTCCCCTTTATTTTTCTAAGCAGTTTCAGTAATAGAAAT